GCCCCTACCACTGTCCCTACACCTGCCGTCCCCCCTGCACCTGCCCTTGCCCCTACCACTGTCCCTACACCTGCCGTCCCCCCTGCACCTGCCCTCGCCCCTACCACCGTCCCTGCACCTGCTGTCCCCCCTGCACCTGTCCTCACCCTCACCACGGCCCCTACACCTGCCGTCCCCCCTGCACCTGTCCCCGCCCCTACCACTGCACCTGCTGTCCCCCCTGCACCTGCCGTGCCCCCTGAACCTACCCCACCACCTTCCCTGCTCCCCCCCACCTGCAGGCGGTCCAGGAACAGCTGCTGCATCAGGTCCTCCCAGAACAAGAAGGGCTTCTCCAGAAGCCGCTGGCACACCACATCCCAGCTGTGGCTGGTGGCCTCACTGCTCAGCAGACCCCACATGGCGTCCCGGACCTCGGCGAGGCCTTTCATGTTCTTCACCAATTCAAGCAGGTTGGCAAGCCCATGTCTGATGTCTTCACTGCACCTGCAACACAACCATTTTCCCTGGGCTCCATTCGGGTAAACCCTTTATGAGAAGCGGCAGGACCTGCCTCTCACCCAGGCCTTGATACACAGGATGTCAATGCACAGCACCTGCGGGGCACCCCGTTTCAAAGCGAGTGTTGGAATAGAAACTGCACTAGAGTATAAACAGAACAAAAAACAAAGGGAAGAAATGCACAAAAGATTCCAAAGGGCAGCTTGAGAAGATGAAATACTCTTAACAACATGTGCGAAGAGCTGGAGTTAGAGTCAAAAGACAGGACACACTCAGCATTTCTCAAGCTGAAAGAACCAAAAACCAAAATCAAGCCTCAAGCTGCGACACTGAAGGCTTCAATGGACAAAATCTTGAAGGATCCAGGAAGCATGAAGATGGAAAGACTACACACAGTCACGGCCCCAAAGCAAACCAGTTCACATGGACCCATTTCAGCAAGCAGCAGACCATCCGGAACCACTGGCAATGAAGAAAAAAGCTCAAGCTGCACCGAAGGCACTGGCAAAAAACAAGGCCCCAGGAGCTGATGGGATACCAATCAATCAGCATGTTCAACCAACAGATGCCGCCCTGGGCCTGCTCACCAGTTTGTGCCAGGAAATTTACAAGACCGCTACCTGGCCGACTGACTGGAAGAAATTCCTATTCCCATTTCCAAAAAACGGTGATCCAAGATAATGTGCAAATTATCAAACAATTATCATTACTATCGCTCGCAAGTAAAATCTTGGGAAAGATTACTCAGAAATGCCTAGAACAGTAGTACATTGACAGGACCTCCAGAAATCCAAGCTGGCTTTAGAACAGGCTGTGGAATGAGGGATGGAACTGCTGGTGCAGATCTTGCTGGAAGCAGAGAATACCAGAAAGCTGTTTGTGTTTTATCGACTATGCAATGCTATTTGACTAGATCATAACAAATTATGTCTAACAGAGAACAAGGGGGATCCCAAAACACTTAACTGTGCTCATGTGAAACCTATACCTAGACCAACAAGCTGCTGAGATAGAACAAAGAACACTGCCCAGTTTAAAAACGAGGAAAGGTGTGTGTCAGGGCTGTATCCTTCCTCCATATCTACTCGGGCTGTATGCTGAGCAAATGCCTCAAGAAGCTAGACTCAACGAAGATTAATGTGGCATCAGACCTGGAGGAAGCCTCATCAACACGCACTATGCAGATGACACAACCTTGCTCGCTGAAAGTGAGGAGGACTTGAAATGCTTGCTCTAGAAGATCACAGACTACAGCCTTTGTGATCCTTTTCCAGTTCCTAAGGTGTTCATGCTTCTGTATGACATGTGCCACCTTTTAAACCTTGTTACAACATGGGCACACTACCTATCCGACGTGGAAAAAAAAAAAGAAGACTACAGCCTTCAATGTTGATTACATCTCAACCTCATGAAAACAAAGTCTCATCACTGAACAGACAACACCGTGAGAGATGGAAAAAGACTGAAGTTAATAAACTAGTTCATTTTCCTTGGATCCACAGTCAGCGCTCATGGTAACAGCAGTCAGGAGATGAAAAGACATGTTGCGTTGGGAAAGCACGCTGTCAAGGACAACGTCAGGTTCAGGACGGAGGGGCTCCTGTGAATTACTTCCTATGTATCTGAAAGCTGCAACAAATGAGGATGACCAAGAAGAGCTCATGTCTCTGAGTTGCGCTGCTGGAGAAGCCGACTGACTTCCCCACAGGCTGCCCAAAGAACAAACAGGTTTCTCTGGAAGGACGTTCAACGAGGGCTGAAGCTCTTTAGGGGTAAGGATGGTGAAACGTCATCCCACATACTTCTGTCGTCAGGAAGGGCCAGGCCATGGAAAAGGACAGCTGTGGGGTCTGAGAAAGGAAGGAAGATTCTCAAAACCAAGGTGGACACAGAGCTCGAGCATGTGGGTGACGGTGAGGCCGGTGCGGGCCAGGCCGGGTTCAGCTCTGTTGTCCACAGGCTGCTGGGAGTCGTAGTCGACTTGACGGCACCTAACAACGAAAACAACCCTTGCTTCCCTGGGAACCCAGCGGGCTCCACAGCTCCCTGGAATGGCTGGAAACAATCCACACGCTAATGCAACAGTAGGAACTGCAGAAGTCTTAAGGGAAGAGTTCACAATCCTTGCATACTACTCTGAAAGACTAACTGCTCTCAGGGTCTCCCCCAGTGGTGCTGAGCGGCTGGCTGGTCCGAGAGGGGCAGCACGTGGCCACAGTGTCATCCACAGCCTCACCTGTGCGTCCCTGTCAACCCGGCCTGGCCACCCCGAAGGCTACAGCGGAGGCTCCTGGCAGCCTCCACGACGCTCTTCCCAGCTACTTACATGTGGATCCATTTCTGCAGCGTGTCCTTGAGGAACTCCTGGCTGATGGGATGCGCGGGCGTCCGGAGGGTTGGCTGGAACTCAATGATGGATGGTGGCAGGTATCTGAACCAGCTGCAGAGCTTCATGCCCTCCTGCAGGACAGCGATGCCCTTTCCTGGAGAGAGGGCCCGTGAGTGTCCCCTAGGAGCTGGCACCTGACTGGGACAGTGCCAGGCTCCCAGGTGAGCTCCCTACAGTATTCCAGCCCCACCTGGACTGGTAACTCCATTCAAGATCAGTACCACGGACCATCAGTCATACTGTCCATGGATTTGACTCTGGGAGTCCTAACAAATGATGGAAAACACTTTCGAGACTGGGCAATGCAAAACACTTAATTGTGTTATAGAGGACTCTGTACGTCAACCAACGGGCAGGCACGTGAACAGAACAAAGGGGTACTGTGTGGTTTAAAATCAGGAAAGGTGTGTGGCCACGTGGCATCTTTTCTCCATACTTAGTCACCTAGAATGTTGAGCAGATAATCTAAGCTGGACTCAGTGAAGAACACAGCATCAGGACTGGAGGAAGAATCACTAACAACCCGTAATATGCACATGACACAATCTCAGGAGGACGTGAAGCCCTTACTGATGAAGATCAAAGACAGTCTTCAGTAGACATTAAACCTCAGCATAAAGGGGGGGAAACGCCACACAGTGCGACCAATAGGCAACATGATAAATGCAGAAAAACTGAGGTTACCTAGGATTTCAACTTATCTGGATCCACATTTAACACCCGTAGAAGGAACAGTCAAGAAATTAAAGAATGGACTGCACTGGGAAAATCTACAGCAAAAGACCACTTTAAAGTCTTAAAAAGGGCGAGCTCTGGTGGCCTAGTGGCAAGAAGCTGCACTGTAATTCTCAGAGGTACGTGGTTCAAATCCACCAGATGCTCTGCTGGAAAAGGAGGAACAATCTCCTCCTGTACCAGTCAGATCTGATTTGACGGTACACACAAAAAATAATGAAATATGGCGAGCTCTGGTGGCCTAGTGGCAGGAAACTGCACTGCAATCCCAGAGGTGCGCAGTTCAAATCCACCAGATGCTCTGCTGAAGAAGGAGGAACAACCGCCTCCTGTACCAGTCAGATCCAATTTGACAGTACACACATAACAAAAAAAAAAACAACCCCAAAACTACCAAAAAAATAATGAAATAAAATTTTTAAAAAAGTGTTAAAAAAGGAAAGCTATCACTCAAAGGACTAAGGAGCACCTGACCCAACCCTTGGCATCTTCAGATGCCTTCTATATGTGTAACTGCTTGAACAATGAACAAGGAATACCGGAAATACTCAAGAACTGCTGTCCCTGACTTGTCGTCCCTAAAGAATCCTGAATGTGCCAACAGAATCAATGCATCTACAAAGACTTTATGCACATTCATGAGCTGCAAATCTGGAGCCCTAGATGCACTGGTCAAATACTTAGCTGATAACAGAAAGGTCTGGTGGTCTGCACCCCCAGCAGCGCTGCAGGACCGGGCGGTGTTACCTTCAGGACAAGCTAGGGCTCTCTACAGGGCAGATCGTCTCGGGCCCACAGGCTGCTGTAAGTCAGAAGTGACTCGACACTAAACCCTGACTTTATAAAGGAGTCGTGGCAATCTGACTGGCTCACTGCTGCTATCCCCAGGGCCTTACCCAGGGCAGGTACTCAGTCATTCATTACCAGGAGGGGAGGGGAAGTTGACGGAAAGCTCACCGCTAGAACTCTGGCCTGTGATGGTCTCCAGGGTGGAGAACAGCAAGCCGCAGGGAAGAGACGGGTCTGGCAGCTGACCTTCCGGCAGAGAGTAGAAGAGGGCGTGTGCCTGGTTCAGGGTGGTGGCCATCAGCTCGACTAGCGAGCAGATCTGAGCTTTGGCTCCTCCGTCTACGAGGAGAAATTGTTGTACTTCGAACAAGGAAGGGCCTTCAGCCAACGCAGCATCCGGGATGCTTCACGTCCCCTCACCCCACAGTTAAGGAGCAAATTCTGGAGAGAGGCTGCACTCACCGTGGGGCGGCTGGTTGAGGAGCTTCTGGATGGCCGCCTTTCTGGCCAGCAGGAAGTCCGTCAGGGCTTGGCGAGGAGAACTCTCTTCCAAGAGCATGATGGAGCAGAGGGCCTCGGCCACAGCTTGGTCAGGCACAGCCTGGCATTTGAGCAGCATCTTGCTTTCGTGCAGGATGGCCGACCTCGAGGAGGGAGGAGGACGGAAGTCAACTGGGAATTGTCCCCAAGGGAAAGAACCCTGGCACATCAGGAAACCTGCAGTGGGATCTCTCTCTGAACTTACAGAGCCGGAGAATGCCCATCCTTCTCCCTCAGAGCAGTTGGGGGATTTGAACCGCCTGCCTGTGGGGCCGGGAGCGCACTCTTAGTGGGGGCCCCGCTTACCGGAAGTGGCTGGCCGCTGCCACCTGCTGGATGAGGATGGGGAAGCGGGAGAGGACGGGGCTGTGCTGGGCCCGGGAGGAGCTCAGCTGGAGCAGCCCGTGGAGGTGACAGCACAGCAGGCAGAGCTGCGTGGCGTGCAGGTACTGCGAGGCCTCCATCGCGCTCCACATCTTCTCCGGGATCTCGAGCAGGAGCTTGATCTGGGCAGCCATGCTGTAGAACTTCTCCTGGGCCGGCGGCGGCTGCGGCGTGGAAGGGCAGAGAGAGAAGTCAGAAACACACACAGCACCTCGGTGGGGTCGAGCCTGACCTCACTCCTGTCCACAGCCTCCTCTGCTGGGGGGTGGGGGGCTGTCCCGTCCATCACAGGACATGCGGTGACCCCTGCCCCACTAGGAAACAGAATGAGGGCCAGAACGGCTGACATCAGATGGCTCCTGGTGCAAAGCACAGAATACCAGGAAGGTCCGCCTGCATTTTATCAACCATGCAACTCAAGTGTGTGGATCGGAATGAGTGCCGCAGAGCAATGCAAAGAACGAGAATTCTAGAGCCCCATCTGCAACCGAGAGCGCTCTGGTGGTCCAGAAGTAAGGAGCTATGCTGCCATCGCAAAGGCACAAGGTTCAAATCCACCAGCTACCCTGTGGGATAGAGATGGGCAATCTCCTCCCATGTGACCCAGAAGGCCAGCAAGGCTGAAGGGCAGGGGCCCTCGAGCAGTCCTGAGCTGTCCTGACTCAAGCACTGTATCCTGTGGCAGTGGCCACCATGTCACCCAGCCATGTGGGTAAAGTTTAAAGCAGTCAGAAAAGCCCTATTAAATAAGCCGCTGCAGGACGTGGACCGAGAGGCAACATCACGATACTATAGTACTGACTGTTGTTGTTGTTGTTATGTGCCATCGAGTCGCTAACGACTCATAGTGACCCTATGTACAATAGCCCTAAACCCTGCTCTATCCTGTGCCAATCTCATTGCCTCTGACACACCCATCCCGATTACCCCAGTCACTGAATCAATCCACCTCATAGAGGGTCTTCCCCTCCTGTGCTGTCCCTCCACTCTACCCAGCATGATGTTCCTCTCTAAAGACCTGTCCCTCCTTACATGTCCAAAGTATGTCAGACGAAGCCCCAGAATCCTTGCCTCCAAGGAGCAGCCTGGTTTAACGTCTCTATAGTACTGACTACAGGAGAAAAAACTTGACTCTAAGAAGTGTAGCCAGTGCTGCTTAGAAGCGAGGCTGGTGAGCCCTCCCTCACACACTCTGGACACGTTGTCAGGAGGGGCTGGTCGCTGGAGGACTCTGCGCTTGGTGGAGGAGGGGAATGAGACGGCCTGGCACTGGACGGCTGCAGTGATGCATGTAAGCACAGCAGTGCTGTGAGCCTGGGGCAAGACTGGGTGTGATTCTGTCTGCTGCATGTGAGGTCCATCTGAGTCTGAACCAAGTTGTCTGCACAGTGTGTGCGATCCCCGCCGACCCTGTCGGAACTCGATACCACTTTTGCAGTTTCCCTGTCCAGGTTGCAGGAAGGGGAACTTTCCCTTTCACTTACTCATCTCTGGGTCAGTGTTCTTTGGAAAAACAAGATCTTGCTCCAAACAATAAAACCAAAACGGGTGTTCCCAAGTCTGTCCTGCCTCTGTCACCCCAGTGTGTGCGGGCAGAGGCCCATGGCCTCGTCCAGCCTGGCCTCTCAGGCGCACATTTCCAGATCTGTCTTCGGGGTGTGGGGTGGGCTGGCCCCACCACCCTTGCTGCCGTTAAGATCGGCTGCAGGGCCTCCTGCTCCAGTCCACCGGTGGGCCAGGCTTCTGACCACATCGTTCACCTGGGTTTTAATCCTGAGTGGGAGGAAGTAAGCTCATTCGGAAAAAACTGAACTCAGCTGCTTAACCTGAAAATAGTCTATTACCACCAACACCTGAGGATTAAGGGTCAGCAAACACCGGCCTACAACGTCGGAGGGAGGCACAGCTCTCCGGGAAGGCGCAAGGCGTTCTTGGGGGTAAGGAGCGTGGCTTTGGGGGAGTCCACATGCGGCCCAGGTCTACGCCAGGGACAGCAATGTCAGGACGCTCTGCGGGAATGCACTGCCCTGATTGGTTTAAGGAGGCTAGAAGGTGGGCAGTTCGAACCCAGGCAGCAGCTCTGCGCAAAAGCTGTGACACTGCCGATCCCTAAAACTCTGGACTCCCCAGGGGACAGTGCTCTGCCCTAGGGGGTCCCTAAGACTTGCGGTGGGCTAGATGGCCTCGGGACTGGCCACCCCCGGGGGGAGAGGGGGGTTCGTGTAAAACGGGAATGTGGGCAGGGAGAGGCCGACAGTGGGGGGGCACGAGCAAAGGGGGAGGATGCTCCCCATGCAGGGACGGCGCTGCTGTCCTCGGAGGAGGGCCAGGCCGCTCGGACAGCAGGGGCGGCCGGAAGTGGGCGGAGGGCCGGTCAGCGCTGCGGGGCGGCCGCGGGCCAGCACTGACCTCCCGGGCTGGCGGCGGCCGGAGCGCGGCGGGGTCAGCCTGGCGGAGGCGCGCGCAGTACTGGTCAGTGGCCCGCACGGCGTCCACCAGGCCCTCGGCGCAGCGGCGCATCTGGCCGATGGTGTCGGCCGCCTCGATCAGGTCGCGGTACCGCTCGCCCACCATCTGCCGCAGCTCCTCCTTCTTGTGCTCGATCTCCGCCCGAACTTGGCGCTCCAGGCCGCGGATCTCCTCCGCCCCATGGGTCTCGAAGAGCGCCGCGGGGTCGCGCAGGTCCAGCCGCTTCATGGCCGAAGAGGCGGCGGCGACAGCCATCGCGGACCCGCCGGGCGCCGGGAGGACCACTTCCGCCCGCTGGCCCGCCCCGCCGCCCTCTTGGTTAAGGGCATATCCGCTTCCGTCTGCTGGCCTTCGGCGGCCATCTTTGTTAGGGGCATTTTAAGCTTCCGTCTGCTGGGGTCTCTGCAGCTATATTTGTTAGGGGCATTTCCGCCCCTCTCGGCGCCATGTTTGTTTGGGGTGATGTCAGTGCATCACTTTGGTACTTTACATGTGTAGCTAGTAACCGCGGCTATTCCTCGGAAAGGGACATCATACTTGAAAAGATGGAGAGCCAGACAAGGAGAGGGAGACTCAAAGAGATGAACTGACACGTGACTTCAAGGGTGTCGGAGATGATAAGGATGGCACAGGATAGAGCAGCGGTTCAGGCTGGCTGTTTATAAGGTCGCTATGAGTTGGAAAGTAACGACGACAGCAATAATATGATTTTCACATTCTACCCACAAAATAACGAGCGGTGGTGATGTAGCGGATGACGTGTTGGTCTGCTAACCTAGAGCTTGGCATTTAGAATTCACCACGTGCTCCTGGAGATGGCGCTGGAAGGGACTTTCTCCTCCTGTTAATGTTTACAGCATGAGTTAGAACAGATGCAACAGCAGTGCTTTTGTTCTCCACATAAAGAGAATCCTAGTAAGGTAGTGGGTGTTAAATGTTTGCGGTTGCTAACTGGAAAATTGACAGTTCAGATACACTAGCAGCTTTGAAAGCAATTTTTAGTTGTCCTACAGAATTGCTGTGAGTTGAAATGTACTCAAGAGCTGTGGGGTGTTTTGATCTGATTATTGATAGACACACCAGCCCTACTGGATAGACGGGAATAATACTCTTCTCCAGAGCATGCCAAAACCCCAACAAGCTCATTCACTGGCCCAGAGCTCCTCGCTAGTAAGTGGCAGAGTCAGTGCTTGGACAGTTTGGGATTGCTGGCTGTAAATATTTATGGCACCAGGCTGCCACACGTTTCTTCTGTGCCATGGCAGGGGAGTTTGAGTTGTTGACTTCACCCTTAATGATTGTGAAAAGAGCAGCTGTAGTGAGGGTGGCCGACTCTGACTTCTGCCCGTTGCATCAAGGGGAACTTTCCCCTCAACAATATCCATAACAGCAAACAGATAGCTTTTAGGTCAGACATACCACCACCCACCGCCACCACTGCCACCACACGTTCCTGCACCTGCTTCCACCAATCACTGGGTTCGCTGTTCATTGTTGGACTCACCGACTTTACTCACAGTTGTACCAAGAGTGGGGTTTTTTAGGAAAATAGATTGGGAAGTTGGGAAGACAAAGAATAGCTCCATGCAAGTTCAGGTTTAGCTCAGCAGTCCCAAGCCACATTAACAGCAAAACACAATTCCTTAATTAGTAAAAGTCCTGGTTTCAGTTTGGCGACACAAATTCAGGCAGCCACTGGTTTCCTCAATCACTCAGCAGGGTTTGACTCAGAGCAGTTACAACTCAACTTCTCCTTCAATCACATTGCCACAGCCTCTCCACCACTGTATTCCTGGAGTCTTGCTCTCCCCAGGCCTAGCTCCATCTCACTCTCACCAGGTCTTCTTCTACAGTGTGGGAAGCACTCTCTCTCTTATCCTAGTCCCATAGCTGCTGATGATTTGCAAGACCATGTGCCTTGCAAAAAGCATGGTGGCAAAGTTAAGGTGGCTGGAGACCAGCAGGGGCTAATATAATGGCTAGAAAAGCCAACTTTTAAGGGAGCTCTGGTGGCCTAGTGGCAAGACGCTGCACTGCAATCCCAGAGTTACGTGGTTCAAATCCACCAGATGCTCTGCTGGAGGAGGGGACAATCTCCTCCTGTACCAGTCAGATCTGATTTGATGGTACATGTAAAAATAATACAATTAAAAAAATTTTAAAAACCAAACAACTTTTAAACTAACACTACCATGACTGAATGCTTAATCACTGCACCACCAGGAAACATTCATATTATCCTACCTAGATCAAAAGATGTATCACAGTGGGAAAATCTGTTGTCAGGGACCTCTCCAGAGGACTGAAGAGTAATGATGTCTGAGGTGTGCCTGATCCAAACTGTAGTCTTCTCTATCAAAAGTTGGACAATGACTAAGGATGACAGAGAAAGAATTGTTGTGTTTGAGTTGTGGTATTGAAGAGTACTGAATATCCCATGCACTGCCAAAAGCACTAAAATGGAAAGTACTCCTTGACTGCAAAGATTGTGAAATGCCCTCTCACACGGTGGACATACTGTCAGGAAGGGCCAATCCTTGGAGAAGGACGTCATGCTTGAAAAGGTGGAAGGTCAGTTTAAGAGAGGAAGACCCACAGCAGGACAGATTGGCATAACAGACACATGAAGAAATGCTCAAAATCACTGGCAATAATAAGAGAGACTCAAGTCAAAACCACAATTAAGGGAGCTCTGGTGGCCTAGTGGCAAGAAGCTGAACTGCAACCCCGAGGGTGCACAGTTCGAATCCACCAGATGCTCTGCTGGAGAAGGAGGATCAGTCTCCTTCTGTGCCAGTGATATCCAATTCGATGGTACACACACACGCCCACACAAAAAAACAACTCACAATGAGATACCATCTTACCTAGTAGCAGTGGCAAAGTTTTACAGGACAATAAGCAATAAATGTTGGAGAGGCTGCAGAGAGATAGGAACTCTCAGACACTGTGCGTGAGATTGTAAAATGGTACAACCACTGCGGAAAACAGTGGCATTTCTTCAAAAAGCTGAGCATAGAAATTCCATATGACTCAGCTATTCCACTGCTTAGAGTATACCCTGAGAAAATTAGGACTGAGATACAAACGGAGATTTGTACACCAGTGTTCATAGCAGTGTCACTATCACAGGAACATGGAAACAGCCTAGATGTCTAACCACAAACGGATGGATTGAGAGATTGCGGTACATTCACACAATGGAATACTACGCAGCACGCAGGAGCAATGATTTCAAAGTTTACTTCATAACGTGGAAGGGACTGGAGAGCATTATGCTGAGTGAACTAACTCAGTCCCACAAGGACAAAGAGTGTATAAGACCACTATTGTAGAAATAGAATGATGAGTAAAATGTGTGTGAAGATCAGAGGGGGGGAAGGTAGGAGCAGAGGGCTGGGGATGGGCAAGGGGAGATCACGGGGTCACGCAATTTGATGGGTGAAGGGGGGCAAAGGAAATGAGATAGATCGGGGGGTGTCTAGAAAGACGGCAGTGGTGGGCATCATTCAATGTTGATTGATTTTCAAAAATATAATGCACCAGAATGATTGTTTGAAACAGAATGTGAATGAGGAATAGTGTAAAACATAAAGCGTATGAACTTTATAAGCAAACCAATATAAAATACAAATTAAAAAAGATTCGCATGGTGACTAGCAATGGGCTCAAGCGTGTCGGAGATGGTGAGGTTGGCTCAGGATTACGGCAAGGTTCAGAGCTGTTGCTCAGAGAGTCGCTATGAGTTGTAGCCCTCTCGGCAGCACACAACAACAACAACAACCCCAGAGTGTGTGTGATAAAGCTCTGCCGTCCTTGCCTCGAAGCAGCACTCCGCCTGTCCTTTATCCAGACGGGTGTAGGAGGGGCGATGCCTGTATTCCAGGAAAACAGTTCATTCCCTCACACGCTGCTTCTCCCGAGTGTCCTGTAGATGCCACACCAGTGAGCCTCGGTCTGCAGAGCTGAGAGTCCCTGGGGGCGCCTGGGAAACTCTCTCAGCCAGTCACTGAGGGGCGGGGGAGGGGGGAGCCTAGAGCAGGTGCGTCTGTGGGTCTTCAGTCTCCATCCCTCCTTTCACCCCCACCCCCACCCCCGCTTCCAGGAAGCAGCCCCTTCCTCTTTCCTTCTTCTCGTTGGTTTTATCAAAACCAGAAGCAGGGCTGCAGCAATTGGACCAAGCACCGCACAGCGCCAGAGGGTGCAGAGGTGAGCAACCCCAGTCTTGTTTTCTCAAGGTCTTAGGTCAGTGAGGGAAAGGGGTGCCTCCTACTTTCGTGCATCTGGTTCCGGTTTGGTTTAGGGGTGACTGTGTGTGGCTGTTACTGTCAGGTGTTCTGGCTCACAGGGTGAACCCTGCCCGGTCCTCTGCCGTCCTTGAACTCTCTGCTGCGCTTCAGCTCCTCACTGTGGTCCCTGTATTATCCCTTCCTCTGTGCGTGTGTGTTTCTTCCTTTCTCTTGCCGACCCTCTACTCTGCCAGGCAAGATGTCTTCTTCTAGGTACTGACCCCTCCCAAAGACAAGAGTGTGTTAAGAAGGGAGAGGCTGGCAAACTCTGGTGGCCTAGGGGCAAGAAGCTGTACTGCAATCCCAGTGGTGAGCGGTTCAAATCCACCAGATGCTGTGCTGGAGAAGGAGGA